CCAAATTTATATAGAATTTTAAATGTTCTTCTAGATGACATGTTGTGTTCTGTAATGCTCAAGGAGACCATAATTTCTTTGGGGATATATATAAATACACTGGTATGTGAAAAAAAATCCCACAGTATTTCTAAATGAAACAGTTGAACATCTAGCCTGTATCCTAGTTTCTGTTGGGTTTTTCTGTTTCTGGTTGTTTTTTTTTTTAGAAGAATTCACTCACAGTAAATTCATACCAAATTTCTCAGAAAATCTGGTGGGAGAGTACTTGAAGAAATGCTTCAGCATTATTGCTGACTAGCTAACATAAGCTGACAATAGTAGATGACTGTGGTGAAATACTGATATTTCCTTGGACCTACCTCTTCCTCTTTCTGGAATGTTGGTTCTGTGAGCACTTATTAGCCAATGGTTTTACCACATTGCTAAAATTAATCTCCATATTGATATAAAATTAATTGGAGAATTCTACTTTTGTGGATGATAGTAGACACTAGAAATAAGGAAATCTTCCTTACCTCTATCCTGTGACATGAACTTTTATAAACTCTAACCTAGGTTCATGTCATGGCAAAGAAATAGAGGTCAAAACTGATTTATATGATCAACTATTAAATTTAAACACTAAGTTCTTGTTTAATCTCAATGACAATTATTTAGATAAATCCCATATCCTTTCAAAAATATGCCTGTGTTCTACTACTCATTTTTTCACATTTGTATATAGTGACAGATTTTGTAAAACTACTGTCATAAATGAACAGAACCCCAAAGTGCCATACTGATGTATACCAGTAAAAACTTAGAAGACAACCTGATTAGATTTCCTGAGGTAGAATTACATTATCAAACAAAATACAGGGTTTGAAATTCAACACCCCAAAAGAAATACAGTAGGCTGAAAATTTCCTTAATGAGAAATCCATGAACCTAAATATTTGGTGTTTCTGATTTGCTCACTTCCTCAGGTTAATGTTTCTTCAACATGTTTCCAATTCTTTTTTTTTTTTCCAGCTGAATTGGTTGTTGTACTTTCAAAGGTGATGATTTGCAAATGATGATTTCCAGCCTACTGTATTCTATGTATGGCAGAATGTCCATCAAGTTTCCTGTAGGTGACATTAGTAGTGCAATCATTCAAAATGCAGCCTGACAGCATTTCAATCAACTCACTTTTCAACACTAGACATCAAATATACATTGCAAACCCAGCACCTGCTCTGCTTGTAGAGTGACATCAAATAGGTTAGCCTTGGGTCCTAAGACAGAGCCTGTCTCTCGAACTCCTACATTAAGAAGTGACTTTGGCAATGATTCTCTTGGAGATTAAAACTCCACCAAAACTGGCTCTCAACCTACAATACAATCTAATCCCTTTATTCCTTGTGTTTCTGTCTCAGCAAAGCCCAGAAGAGCTGTGTGTCTGCTAGATGAGTCAGCCACATAGCCCAGCTCTTAACCTCATCCTGTAGAGCTTCACATTTACAGCAAAGGTGCGAGCAGAATAGCATCCATACATTTATAAAAAAGTGCCCCGGGTCTGAGCTCCTTGGGGTTTGCTTCCTCCCTTTTGCAATAACTGCATTGCAGCACCTCCAGAGACACCTTGAGGTGGCAAATGTTGCAACTCTTCATGATGTCTGGATGATTATATCAAGACCTACCTTTTTAAAACAGCAGCAGAAGCACTGGGATAATATCCAACTCTTGTGACACTTCATGAAGTGAAGAGGCCTAGCTACTGCCATCCTGGGACTTTTTTGTCTTTTGTTGGGAATTAAGAACAGGTCAGTTAAAAGTTTTCATTTTATTTTTGTGCCTTGGGCTGAAGAAAGGTCTACTCCTTGACCCACAACAACCTATACTCTATCTACTGAATCTTCTGAGTCAGATCCATAATTCCCTTTAAATTAGAGGACAACTAGCTGCTACCGAACACCATGGAGGAGCCTGACAAAGAGGAAGGCAGTGGATGTGCTCAGGATTTCAAGTTCAGAGGAATAAAAAAGGCATGCCAGCACTCATAAACCTTAGAAGGACAGCGTGAATCCTTCTCCTTCTGTTCTGTTTGCTAATCAGGCTTTGGTGCTGATGGCATAAATCAGGAGGATGAACAGCTGGGAGATGAATCAGATAAAACAGTACTGCAAAGGCATTGTCAGCCCATCATAACAGTGGCAGAGGCAAGGACATGCAGACCATTGTGCAGCACAGGTGCAGTCTGGGCCTTCTGAGGTGACTCTGGAGACAGCAGTGGGGATCCAGGTGTGACAGCTTTATAAAGACAGAGTTTTGATGTGGTCAATTTACCACATGCCTCACCACCACTCCTACTAGTGCTGTAAAAGATGTGATCTTTTATCTCTAGAGGGACAACACTGGTCCAGTCCTGATTCAGTTCTAGGCACTAGGCAGGATGGTGCTGATCACATTGTCACATTGATCCTACAGCCAGGAATTGCAGGTTCGCATTTCCTATACGGGACAACATCTTTCCTGCAGCATGTGCAATGGAATGGATAACAGCTGCCCTCACCATTAGCTTTGAGCAGGCAGCAGGCAGGAGATTTGTGTCCCTTGGTTCTGCAGGAACTGCCTGCAGTCACATTCCTGGAGCTCCACAGAGGGCACTGCCCTGGTTATTGCTGCCACTCTTGCTGAGAGACGTTCCACATCAGGAATGCAAGTGCAGCAGGAGATATACATCCGTGTGGTCCAAAAGAGGTTAATGTAGGGCCCAATAACCTTCACAGATGAATCAAACAGCCGAATAGAAAAAGCTGTCATGAATATTTGCAGTCCTAGGTAATTTGCAGCAAAGGTAATGGATGAAGAGGAATTCTGTCCTAGAAGATGAAGCAGTAGAAGCAGTATATAGACAGACTTCAAGAAAGGTAGGAAATTGTATAGAGGTGGGAGAGATTATTCAGAGCTGCTAACTCAGTGTCTGGTCTGGAGAGATGATTTTCTCTTTGAGAAGTGACTGAATCTCTTCCCAGTGGAAATGTTTGGCCCTAGAGACACACAGACTGGATGCTGGTAAATCCCAGGCTAGGGCAAGGTCCTCCCTGCAGGCCTGCTCATTCTGCTCTCTGGGACATTCAGCTGGCTGATGCAGTTTCATCATGCAGGCTCACAGATGGTAAAAGGACTCACAAGCCAGCCTGAGTGCTTGCTGGGGACACAGATGTGCTCTGAAGATTGCTTTGGTATTTATGTGAAACAACTGCTGTTTGTTAAGAGGTGTTGAAAGTAATAATAAATAATTATAAATTATTTTAATGTATTAAATTGTTGACATAACACCAACACAAATATCTCTTAGGAAAGAGAATAAATATATAAAGCTACATTACTTTATAAATTAATTCATAAGTATTTATTACAGGAAATTACAATCAATTGTTAAGCATTATGGTGTCTTGCTTGGAGAATGGATTTTTTTTTTTGCTATTATTAATAATCTTAATTACCAACTTTAAGTACTGTTTATTTCCCACACACATCCCAGGACACTAATTTTTATACAGCATCTAAAATACACAGTGGTTTTGGTTTGGGTTGCTTTGTAGTACACAATAATTTGCTGAAAATAATTTCCTAGTTGCTAAGTGGAAATAGAAGCTCTAGGTGTCCCTCAATCAGTTATGACCTAGCCTGGGAGAGCTAGTTGATACTGTGCAATAAGAAATTTATTTCTCCAAAGTTTTATGCATCATAATCAAAATACCAAGAGGCCAAGCTTGCCCATGTTACTGATTTTTATATCCCTTATGCCATCAAACAAGAATTGTATGCTCAAAAACTTGCTGCCCTTACATCTCATTGGTCTAACAAAACATAGTATCTGAAACAGGTTTCCCAGAGAATGCCTCTTCCCTGGAAGTGTTCAAGGTTGGATGGGGCCCTGGTCTAGCGGAAGGTGTCTATGTCCACAGCAGAGGATTTAGAATTAGAAGACCTTTAAAGTAATTTCCAACCCAAACCATTCTATCATTATTGCCTCAAAAGTGTCTGTAAATTATGATGATCTCACTGTTGGACCTGTAATTATCCTGATGCTAATCTGGTTGACCCCACTACAATCTTATAAATTGCCAGTAATTAGACTTATTTCACAGTATTCAGACAATCTATTTTCAGATATCTTCATTTGTTAAACAGATGCATAACCTGAATGTATTTTTTTGACTTGTCTTCACAGGTCTTCACATCCTCAAGTCTGTTCTCTAGTTCTCTTCTTTCATGCCTCCTCTAGCACCTCTACACTCTGATCTCTTATGTTGCTACTTCTGACGTCTGGGGTGATGTGCTGTGCTTGGGACACACAGACTCTCATGTAGATATAAACATTCTCACTTCTTAGTTACCACAATTAACTTTGCACCCAGTATCTTGGTAGAAATGGGAGTGCTTGGCCAGCTGTACCTCTGACCACCCTACCCTTTCCTATGGTACTGCAGCATTCCCTGAACTCCAGTTGTCCTTACAGCCTTCCACAGGTCCTCTGCTGATGGGAGCAACGGCAGCTAGGTGTTATTACCATCCCTTCAGTGCCCAGGCTATCAGCAAACACCCCATAGGCACAGTGAATGAAGGTGTTAATGAGGACACCTGAATTGATTTGGTGGTGATACTCAGCTGTTAAACCAATCATGAGACTGTAAAAGTAGTGAGGTGGATTAACAAAGTGTTTTGCTTAATACTGAGGAGCAAAGGCATTATCTGTGCATGGTAAGGTTGCTTTATGGTACCTTGTAAAATGCTTTATGCCAGAGCAAAGCATAGTTATTCTATCTTTACTAAAAGTAGGATTTTAAAATACATATAATTAAATTTTTACACATTCTTCTGAGAGTTGCTAAATAACTTTAGTGCTACTAATGAATAGATTGTGGATGTTGTGAAAGGTTTGTCTGTCTGGAGGGGGTGAGGGGAGGGATGTCATAGTCAAGCTCTTTCTAGCTTCTTCATTTTTTTTCTTTGTATTTTCAACACAGAGAAATAAACTAATTCCTTATGAAAGTTGCTGGATGGACAAGTCCTGGAGGAACTGTAGTGGATTCCTCTGCCTTTCTTCACTCCTAGGCTGGTCCCCTGCATGTGTCTCACACATAAGGAACTTTGGTTGATCACTATCCATCTTTTCTGTTGAGGACATCTAAGGTGAGTGTTTGCATTGATTCAGCACAACTGTAATTTTATAAAATCAGTTATTGTTGTACTTTTTGTTCTGATGCATTTACAGTAGTATTTGCCCTCTAGCAGGGCATGGCTGAGATGGGATCCTTTGCCTTCCATTATAACAAGTTTTTTTTTTTTCCACATTTTAACCAGTAATTTGTTGCAAAGCACTTTGATATGCTCTGCTCAGATGGAAGACATTATAGAAGAATTTGATTGCTCTCAAAATTGATTGAATGCTGAAAAATATAAATAATAATTCAAATTTAGAAATAACTTGGCTTAAGCTGGCTTTATGCTGTTGTTGCTCAATGCAGCACTGTTTGAAAGACTTGGTCAAAAACTGGAACCCTGCTGTGTTAGAAGCTGTATTGACACTGGACAAAAAGGTAGCACTGCTCTGAAGTGCTTTCAGTTTTCCCACAAAAGCTTAAGCAATTAAGTTGGAGACTCTATTTGTTTGCTTGTTTTGGTGTTTCTCTGGCTTTTTTGTTTTCTTCTTTCATGAATGATAATGAAAATTTATATTGACTGCACATGTTGTTTTAAATGCCTAGAATACATCTAGGTGTTATCTGAGGGCTTTTTCCAGTAAAGTTAGGGAAAACCCTTCCATTTGCTTCTCTTTTCTGCAGCGAGTTCTTTGACTGTCTTATTTTATGTTCTTAGCATATGTATAAAACCCATGGTAAAGCTAAATGAGAGTGAGTACCACTGACAAGTGACTAGAATTATATCTCTAAAGGGACATAGTCATCCTCAACCTGTTCTAAGCAACCCTTAAATGACCTTCAAAACCAGAACTACAGAATGCACCATTTTCAAACAAGGAAAAAAGATGTGGCTTTTTTACTGCTAATGCTTGTGTTATGTGGATAATTGTTCTGTAGCATTGGTAGCAAAATTAGAAAACCAAAGTCATGGGTGGTAAGAAAGCATCAGAAGGCACAAACCTGTCCCTGAGGAAACTTATAGCAACACAGAAGAGTGTAGCATATTCATGATGTTAGGGTCAATCTCATTCACTTTTTCTTGGCCCAAGCTGTGTTTCCACCTGTTGCTTTCTATGCCTGTGAATTCCCCAAAACTGCCATAAGCATGAAAGAAATCCATTTTGGTCAGGAAGCAGTATTTCAGTCTTTTAGGCTTGGGGATACTTGTTCTGCCTAATATTTTTGTGCTTTGGGTGAATTCATACAGATGGTGAGATAGGGCAAGAAGATTTATGTTGAGATTTATTGAGGGAACCTATTTTTTCCCTCCTGGCTGACATCAATAGGGTTGCATAGTCTATTCACTTTGTCACAAAGTGCACCCTGAGAAAGTACGGAGAGGGCCCTGATTGCAATTCTGCCTTCGAACAGGTCACAACTCCATTGTTCTGAAACAATAGAGGTTTTATAAACAAAGTCTGACTAGAAAGATTGTGAGTTATGACACTACAAAGAGCCTTGCTGAAAGCAAAACAAGGCAAAAAAGAAACAGGGTAAGGCATAGAAAAATGCTTATAAACAATAAGTTAAATCCCAGGTCTTGAGTGAAACACTGATGCTGGAGGTACTGTTGTACCTTACAGGAATACTGAGATTGGTCTGTTAGTGTTTACAGTACATAGTACATATGCTGTATAATTACAGTGAAAATAAATGCATAGACACAAAAGTACTTAAAAATCTGGTTATTTCTGGCTTCAAAGGGATTGCTCGCCTGTTTCAAGATGGGCATATACTTAGGCTTCTTGCTGGGGACTTGAAAGAGGCTGTGGATGATGTCCTTCTCTTTGCGTTGCCTATCGCCGTCATCTCATGTTACCTTAAGTTACTATTTCCAATGACCATCTGTTGCCTTTCATCATAAATATAGCACTGCCCCTACGAACTCTCCCATTGGTAGGGCCTGCTACAGTTACTCTTGGGGATGTGTTTTTGCAATACCGAACTTACTGTTTTGCATCATGACTGTATTTTGACTTCCCAACATGCAGTACCTGGTGCAACAGGTGCCTTGTGGGTGTAGAGCAACGCAAGTGAGTAATGGGTGGCACAACTGAAGGATGCTCTGGGAAATCCAGAGCATGAAAGGAAGCCTCTTGAATTCAAGCAGCTGATGTGTTGAAGCCGTTCAGACTTTATATGTTTGAAATAAATTAACCAGGTTATCATAGTGGAATTATTTTTTTTTATCATTTGTGCACAGATATTTATCTAGGTTTTATTCAGTAGAGAGGAAATTATCAGCACTTCAATCCATCCCAACAAAACTGAGAAACTTTCCCTCTCTGGAATCAGCTTGGAAACAATTTTTTTTTCCTTCTCTCTTGAAACTGAAGGTATCTCAAAAACTAAACCCATATTACTTGTTATATGAGCTGCTAAAGTTTTTAATTTTAGTTGCTGATGCCCAGAGGACGAGTAATCAGTTATTATGCTAATCGGCCTTATGTTGCAGTGCATCAGTTTGATGAGGTTAGTGTTAAAAATCTGGCATAAGTATTCGCAGCCTTCCTGTGTTAGAGGAATGTAATGCTTTACCATGTGAAGATCAATTTAACAAGCAGATTTAATCTGAGACTGGGAGGAGAGAAGGAGAGGGGGTCAGGAAAGAACAGGGTGAAGTTCCCTCTGCACTAGACTTCCATCTCTATACCTATGGCAAACAATTATTACCAAATTAAAGGTTCAACATGTATTCCAGTAAAGCAGGTGGTCAGAATGTTAGGCAATAACAATTTAGGAATTGCCACTTTTCTTCTCTCTTTTTAAATGCATCTGTAAAGAGCATCCAAGAAGGCTATGTGCAACTTTTAAGAGGCATAATTAACTAGCTCTCATTTGTTAATAAGTGGATAATGTAGGATTAAAAGTATCCACCTGCTATTTTGTTTTGCTTTTTAACTACATTTTAAATGGTCTTGAATAAGATGTGATGTCTGTTTACTCGAAGGGTCAAGCAAGTTTTTAGATAAAAACAGGGAACTAAGAGAGGACTGAAAAATCGTTATTATACAGAAAAACACTGCAGTTCAAGTTTCTAGCTAGGTGAAGCCCAGAGTTGCTTGGGATTACATCAGTTCCATGAGAATGTTTTTACCATGAAACTAGATGCCAGAGTTTCTGCACCAGGGTTGTTTGGGGTGGGGAATGGAGACTGTCCAGGTTTATCAAGCTGAATTTTGCATTCTGCAGCCTTAATCAGTCTGAAGCTAATTAGCAGCCTCTACACAATAAGGCCACAAGTCATTAATCATAGGAGATGAGAGCAGTCAGCCCCCCATCCTCGACATTTCAAGAAAAGTTTTCTCTTGCACTCTTTTTCTTTTTTTGTGATGGGGCTTCAAAAGTCGCAAGATTGCTTTTCATGGTCAATAGTGTGTGAAGTATAAGCCATGTCTTGATGTGACAGACAAGGGACCACTGTTCAAGGACCTATTGGACTCTTTTTCTCTCTTTTTTTTCATTCTTCTCTCTAAATGCTGTCCTCTAATAGAATGGAGTCAACTGATGACTTTATTTGCTTTGAGTTGAAGCATAGTTCAGCTGGGAATAAAAAAAAGTTTTAACAAGTATGATTTTTGTTAGAGGGAAATTCGAGTTTTTTACAAAGCTGCTTAGTTCTTTTTAAAAGTTACAATCCTTTCTTATGCACAGCTAATGAGGAATGAAAGTCCTTTCACATGCCTAATACAGTTTAGTACAGTGTGTCTTGAAATCCAATGCTAACAGCTGCACGCTAAGCACTAGGAAACCCTTGCAGGAAAAAGAAGTAAATTTTTTGAGGCTGTTGATCAAACTTCTTGCAAACAATCTGAAGAAGAAAATTGAAAGAATAAGTTTGTTGTCTTTAACGACGCTGAGAATTAGATTATGCGCTGTATTTTATTCTGTGGGTAGAAGATGTAATTCTATCTATATTACTCCCACAGTAAGGGATGGGTGATATCTGTATGTCTGACACCTGTCTAGCAGGTCTTACTCCTTAGTTGTCCATAGCATGTCCTTACACCTGTTGGCACCATCACTGTTTCAGGTTCAGATGTTTATTACAATATTATGGCCATTTAGATCTTCTGGCTGGGAATGCTGGGGAGAGAAGGTGTTTTTATGAATAACAAATATATTCATATAGTCTTGTGTTGTTAATCACTGAATTTTCAGTATAAGCAAAACTATTTTGTTGAAGGACAGGTTTTAGAAATCTTTCCTGAAGACCTAAATGTATTTCTCAAGGCCTCTTGCTCCTCCTGCTGAACTTTGCTAGTTTACTTGAGGAATTGCAGTAACACTGAGAGTAGGTAATGGGCTTTTGTTTATACAACTGTGCAGGAATTCCTTGTTCTAGCAGACACTATACCAAACTTTACATCCACCCCTGTGCCTGGAGTTGTCCACTGCAGACTGGGGGTGGCTTTTAGCAGCAAAGCTGTATGGTGACAAAGCACTGCACAGCACTGCCAGCAGCCTGACCACATTGATATCCACTGCTCCTCATGAACAGTTCCAGTTTTGCTTTGATTTGCTTATTTCTCTTCTTTGGAGACTTAAAATAATGTTGAAAGCCTGTTTGGTTTGGGGTAATGTTGTTGTTGTTTTGTTAGTTTCTCTTTCTGTTACTAGTCTTTGAGATAATTGAAAGTGAGGAAAGAAAAATTGTAATTAGGAGGCTCAAATTAAATCAGAGCTCTGTCTCTTACAGACAAGCAGCTGTCTATAGCTGTAATATGGCTGTATGTTGTTGTATTTACTTCTCTGGATCACTAGTGGATTTGGTCCTTGGACCACTGTCCAATTTCAGTAAGAACCATTTCTTCAAGGTGTTTCACATCTTGTGCATATTTTATGCATCTGTGGAGATCATTAGACGGTCACTTTGGGTTACAGCAGGGAGAAGATTAACCCAGTCATAAGTCTGTGGTTGAAAAGTTAGCTCTAGACAAGACTTCAGAGTGAGGAGGCCTATGTTTTGGTGCCTGAGTGCTGTTCCTT